ATGTAACCTGATATCTAGTAATGATATGTGACCTGATATCTAGTAATGATATGTGACCTGATTTCTAGTAACACACCGGTGCTTTCTTTAGCTGTCATTTCAATTGCATGTTATAATCATCACCTAACAAACAGCGTCTGTTCAGGTGGCTAATAAAAAACTTATAAAGCATAGATCTGATAATTTGATTAGCATTGGTTAACTTCTTAAATATACGCTTATAAACAGGCAGCTTGTTTTTATTGTCCTGACATATTCAAATACTTATTTGTCATTGCATTAATACATAGTTATACATACCTTTTTATGAGATTAAATCCCAGTTAACGTCATTGAGACATAATTCCAAGCCTAAAGCGAAGTCTACAAGAGACCCACAACAGAGTGAAGTCTATACCACTGATGGCCATTACAGTTATACTGCATTTAGACTGACGACTAAACCATCAGAATGGCAGAATTATTCCCAAAGTCAGATGTGGAAATGGTCAGAAGTGTCATTGGCAGACAGTTATATACCTCCCACAGGTGTATAGTGAGCTGTGTGTTTATACACAGAAGACAGATAGGAAACATATTCCTCCATAAACAGTAATACACAAGTGTACAGAAATAAGCATGATCGGTGTACAGGTAGAAATTTCTCCTCGCTGGGTCATACTAATGGTCATTGACACACAGGTTTGGTCATTAATGCACAGGTAAAGTAATTAACATTACAGGTATGTGTGTATATCTGCTTTATTTGTCGACTAACTTCCTGGCAATACATTAACCTCAGTACATAGGGTGGTGGGTGAGATTTAGTGTTACAAGGCACTGGTCATTAAATCTGTTTACACCCGTAGCTTTGTGATAAAAGCTTATTGACCAGTATACATCAATTGTCCAGCCCTGCTCTGTCTACTGTTTACTGTCCAGTGTGCCAAGCTTATGGATTATTTAACTTATTAAAAATGTACAGGATAAAAAATAAAAAGTGTTCACATGATCAATGTATGCTGACTGTGCTTACAGGTTTTAGAAATGTCCATTTCCAACTACACATAAAATAGCGACACGAAAGGAGTTTTCTTTCTCACACCTGTCGCTTAATTGAAACAGGGAGTACACAGCTACAGGTACAATTTAGAATCTATTAGCACCTCTCTGTCACTGTAAACACATCCTACTGACCTCATCTCAAAGTAGGTCAAGGTCGTCGTATCCCTGGACATACTCAATAGCATACTCTTTACACTGCGGTGACCACTACAAGACCTTATACAAAATTTTAATTTATTTTCACATTAAAATATGTATGGTACAATTACCATACCATGTTAGATACAAAAGTTTTAGGTCTCGGCTATGAGATCATTTCAGTATCGTATTTATCCTGCAATAAGCCCAGGGTACCAACACATGATCTCTTACTCAAATAAGGGGGAGGGGAGGGGTCTTACTATTGGACAACAAAAGAAATAGCATTTGTTGAATTTTCTACTGTACTGCAGTATATATATGGGTGGGCTTATTTACCAGGCATGGGCTTACTGCTGGATAAATATGGTACGTTTACAGTTTAACTCAGTAGTCCTTCATTTACACATGTCTGTAAGTACACAATAGTTTTGTCACGAATATGATAACATTGTGACATTGTAGTTGCCTGTTTTATTTTCTTTACTGCATGTATTAATTTGTGACTAATAACTAATCACTGTTTTAATGGTGTAAAAATAATCTTAAATGATAAATAACGACAAGTACTTTTACTTTCCTTTTTTGTCTTAGAATACAACAATCTAGCTAGATGTACCAAACAATCACACACTAGTGCTGTAGTACAATCAATCACAGCACTGCCAGTCTCCTTCACTCAGTAGATTAGCGAATTTCCTGTCCCTTATCTGAACCGGAGTACTTTAAGACAATTCATTTCCAGTCTATTAGACTTATAGACGTGGGACAAGTTTACTTTTTATCTATATCCTCCGAGATTGATATTGATCGCTTTTTACTTTGGCTAAAAGGTGACTGAATCTTGCGTAGTTCCACGCCGATGTGTGCTGAGCTCCGTGGTAAGTACACACTGACTTTTGTGTGTCAAGGAGATATCAACACAACTTCACTTCACAGATTTAAATTTGATTAAGTCTGTCGTTGGCCTGGTTAACAGAAGGTAAACAGTGCCTGGACCTGACTAAGTAGGAGTGATGTCAGTACAGGACAGAATTAATAGAGAGTCTCAGATCAGTGTGCTCCCCTTTGTTTAGTATTTTACTATAAAAACCTATTTTATTTACCGTTACAAGGCAATGCAGTCATAAGCTGTAAGCATATCTATCTTAGCTGTAATCAACTTTGGCATTTTAAATGCTAAATGGAAAGTACTAAATGATGATGACCAGTATATATACATACTGTATAACCTAACAATAGCACTAAATCACAATACCTTAAAATCTGTCCCTGATGCACAGAAGTACGGGTGTACTTATACGAGTTACAGTATATTTACCATCCATATAACACTGACTGTAGTCATAGACTGTTAAAACTGATGTCATCACCAAACCCTAACAGTTATATATAGTAATGTTATAGATCCACAGTGTCCTGTCTCGCCAGGCTGAAGATGTACCAGGAAAAACGTCGAAAATGTCTAGTGACAGATAATACATCATTTAACTCTGCATGTGTATAAAACTATCCTCACTCAAATCATTTTGCTAGGAACATGGAAATATTTTCATTTTTTCAAGTAAGATGTATATTGAAAGATTTGATTTGATAGCTAAATCCAAATATCTCAAATTGATGTATGTGTTTGTTGGTAATTTAGTGCCAAGAGGCATCACACAGTAATACATATCAAGACATCCGTGTTGAGTTCATTACAAATGATTTTTGTTTGACAGCAGGATTAAACATTTATTGGACAAGCTAGTGTACATCCCAAACTTTACAAGGGTAAGCACTTAAGTCCTGACACTATCACTTAACCCTACACATACTGGCCAGAACAAAAACAACAGATTTCCTGTAATTCTGTACAATCTTAACCTAAAGATTGAGTAAATTTTGATGATAATAACTTTATTGCAAGTGACTAAGTTACTAAAACATTATTTAATGGCCTTCTCAAAAGGCATTAATACCATTCTACTTCATTTAATTACTCTTTATACAGGTAACTCGTAAACCTCAGTGTACGGGGAAGTAGTCTGAAAACTAAAGTACCCTTTCCTTCTGCAGTTCATGTACTTAACAATAATTAATGACAGCCAATCAGATTATAGGGTTGCGCAGAGCTTGTATTTGACCTTGACCTGTCTGTTCATCAAACCAGAAATCAGTGCAGACCAAAATGATAGAATAGATACAGCTTGAAATAATATATTTTGCTTATAAAAATGTCTGTACAGTTTGCATATAAGTATTAAAACAACTAAAATATACAGTTTTTAGTCCCCATCAATCAGGCCTATCACAGTTGGTTTCATCCAAGGGTAAAAAGACTTGGTATATATGGGAACCAGAAACTAAATACATACATTCATCAAGCCTATACTTTAACAGTATACCTGGACAAAGCTTATTGGCCTTAGGAGGCACGGTAGTCTAGTGGTAGTACGCCAGGCTCATGACCCAAGGGTTGCGGGTTTGAGACACAGCACAGTGTTGTGGTGTATCTTTGAGCAAGATACTTTTCTCCACTTGTTCTAGTCTACTCCGCTGTAAATGTTGAATGCTAGCTGTGAGCGCCGAGCCAAAATGGCAGCACCTGCTGTATGCTCCCCAGGGAGTTGAGAAAGATATTGGCTAGTGCAAAGGCGATTTAACCACGGATAATAATTGGTGAACCGCTTTGAGAGGACCTACAAAGGACTTAAACACCAACTTATAAGAACCCATGTAAATCATTTACATGGATATGTCAGGAAATAAATAAAAAACAGATTAAAATTGATGGTGTGACATATATCATCCCTCCCACCTGTATCATGCTTGTGAACTTTGTACCACATTGCTGACACAGGGAATACACACATGTACCCTCCTTTTATAGAATACACCAAATAAAACCCTTCTAGTATCTCCCTTCAGTGTGACTATAACCTTGTCAGGTTTAAATGATCACCCTTAGAAATATACTACCAATCAGAATTCCCTTGGAAGTATGAATTTACGCATTCTTGCATTTATTTCAAAAATGTATTTGACAAAAACTGACCATATCAAAATGACCATTCATAGAAGATGATTTACATGATGACCTTGACCAAACAAGATCAATAGACTAAATTTTAATATATTTTTTTACAGAAGATATTGTACGTGTTTATCAGTAAGAAACTCTTTAGGAATGGAGATGTAATTGTCACAGTAAGAAGCCTCCTTATTGGTTCCTAATCTAATGATTATAGATCACCTTAAATGCTCATCAGTTATAATTGATGTGTTTTTACCTGATACATGGTTGTGTTTTTGTTTTTGTAATCAGGACTTGATCTCTTTTCTACGCAAAAAAAGGTTTAAATGATAAAGGCTCCAATAACAAATCAACAGAGACTTATTAATACAATTGTATGTTAATGGCACAAACGAAACTAAATGTCCCTGCAAAAAAACATTAAGACATGCTAGACTTTGATCAAATTGATACAAACCTTTTGCTGACAGATATTTAATTTCAATTTTGTTTGCTCTTGCAGTATTTCAATAAAACCAGCAAAGATGATGTGCTGCTTTCAGGGAATGCAACCTGTGGAAGCCTCCTTTCAACCAGTGTAAATTTGTACCAGGACATGCATGTTATCCTCTCTAACATCTTCTATAGCTATAAAAATAGACTTACATACACAAGTTGAAAGTAATTCCTTCCTTAAATCTGATAATGAATGAGTGTCTATGAGGATCAGCAGTAGCTGCGTCAGATTTCACATCTGTCTTCAACAGGTAAATCTATCATTACCTGGCCGTCGATCAGGTTGTGTATATATATTTGTACGTACCTGAGGTTTACCTGTGTTTGTCGTACCAGCTAACGACCAACCAGCTCCTAATCCCTCAGTCAATCACCTAGTTTAACTCTTCAGGTGATGGCTCGCTGAAGCTTATACAAGAAAACAGAAAAAAATCCAATTAATTATACATCTTCATCAAATCCTATGTGGAATCTGGTTTGTGTAGGAAACACTAGATTTTCTAAGTGTCTCAATTTACTAGATTGATTTGATCCTTGAAACAAACAAATGTCCATACCAGCAAAGTAATACAATTTCATCACCATAGAATTGCCAAACATGTTATAATCTCGTTAACTAATCCAAAACAGGTGAAAAGAGGTCCAGCATCAATGAAGAACAAAATTGAAAACATTTTCATTTTGGTTTAAATTCATAATTTTGAACATTAAACTTATTTTAATGCAGATTTTGTATGAAACAGTTCATTGGTTTTAGTTAGAATTAGACCATCAAGTTGTAATGACTTTTCAAAAAAAATGTGATATTACATTTTATATTTGTGATCAGTAAAAGCTTAGAAATACACAATTTGTTCATCAATATTCCTGGTGACATTACTATACAACTGTCACTCCAATAACACAGTCCAATTGATCTATCTCCCCAGCCTCTTTGTGAGCCAAACGTATGTGGAGAAATCAAAAGCTAATCTGCTAATCACTGACATTTCCATCGAGAAGCTACTTATGTGATATTGATAATGATAACACACAGAGCCATACAAATTGTATGAATATCTATAATTCGAAGCCATGATATTTAGCACAAAGTCCCCAGTCAAGTTTCCAGGGACACGTATGTATATATAACGGGAGAATTGGCTCTATATGTCCCTAGGCTAATGGGGATTAGCTGACGACATAACTTTGAACGTTTTCAGATTTTCTATTCAAATGTCAAAATGATGTAATTTTCATCTATTTATCTGACTGTGAGAAGTTAAATTTGCATGCATGATTATTTTATTTTAAAATAGATTTTAGAAATATTTCGTAAGGCAGCAATGTCCCGTTGATGATATTAAGCTAATTAACTGTGATCTGTAGGCTTTCTCTGTACAAGATCAATACTAAAACCGGTAATTGTTGACCACCCATGTTACTGCTTGACCACACAAGCTCCATACTCTGCATTGAATGGAGACTAATTTCCCTGTTCAGGTAGAAGGCTAATTTCCTACTACTATATTTAGTACTTGGGAGGCTGTACAGTCTGCAGTTGGTAAATTACCATAAGACAGGCTGTGTAGAAATAGAAAATGAACATGGGTGGTGGTTGTAATGTGGTAAATTACAGTCTAAAGCTCAGTAATAATTAGGAAATCGTAAATACAGCGTAGCAAAATCACAACATACATGTTGTGTGAACATAGTGGTGCCTGTGACCAGTAACCCTTGTTTTAAGTACCTCGGGTACCAAGGGGATAACTGAACCTTGCACGGTTATAGATAGTGATGTCTTTTGGTGGAAGAGACCTAGAAAAAGGAGGGAGGAATATAGCGGATCTTGACTGGGTCGATCGCCGGTGACCAGGCAGCTAATTGGTTTGAGTGTCTGTTTAGCAGTTTGTCGGAGGGTCCTAGGTTCAAACCCCGGTCTGGCCATGTATTTTTCCTCTCCTGTTACATTTATTTTCACCATGCATTATATTTTTGAGTGTGAAAATACAAGCAGCTCACCTTTATGAAGAGACTGATATGGAATTCATGTAACGCTAGGAGCTTATATACTAAAACAGATTATGACTGTGTGTGTAGCTCTATCAAAAAACTATTATCAATTACCCTCCACACAGAATGTGACTGACAGGCCCTTCACAACATTCCATTATAATCCATCATTTAAAACATTCCATTGGCAGAATGTTTGTCTTAATCATACATTGTGCTCCCTCACCCTCACGCCCCCATCCTCACGCCCCCACCCTCACGCCCCCACCCTTACGCCTCCACCCTCACGCCCCCACCGTTACGCCTCCACTCTCAACCCCCACCCTAACGCCCCAAACCAAATCTTTCCTGCTTCCTGACACTGAGCAGGGTCACTGTAAAGTAAACACTTCATCACCGGCTGAAATGAAATTTTGGTGTGGTATCTAGTGGTAGAGGGAAATTTAAATATGAAAATAAATAACTTTGAGAATGTAAACATAATGAGTTTTTTTTAAGAAATGAATAAAAAGACATATTTCTCTGAACCATAGTTTTTTAAAATAGGTACATACATTAATCAACTTAGGAAAAAAACAGGTTTATGTGCTATAATAAAGTGAAGGATGTATGCTACATTTACACACCATATCTGTGAATTAATTTGTGTTAAAATTAATTTTCTCCCCTAAGGCTATATGCTGCTATAAATTGGTCATCAATGAATTGTGCTATTGTTATCTCCCTTAAAGATGTGAAGTACTGTAACAGGTTTTTACACATGTATGAATTGTATTAGAGTTTCCTCCCTTTAGAATATATATATATATGTTATATGAACACTCTATACCTTCTTTTTTTACATAGCTAATGAAAAAATGATTCATCACATCATTAGAAAATAATATTGGTGAAAAGTCAATGTATTTTATAAAAATAGTTTAACTGTTTATTTTTACATCTCTTCAAAAATGAAAAGTTTCTCCTGTTTAAATATCTGGATTGATATATTCAAAATTTGAACCTTAACTGTCCTGTGTGAATCTACTTCTTTTGGATAGGAGGTAAACAAACTGACAAATAGGAAACAGAAGTAGTTTCTAATATAAATAATATTTGGTAGAATTATTGTGTGATGTTCCGAGTGTTGTAGCTTACATTATATCTATGTATAATGATAGGCAAGAATAGCCATACCTATTTTCATACAAATAAATATTACTTTGCTTAATTTAATTTTTCTTTAATTAATTTCCTTCATGACAAAAATGCCATTTAGGTTAATGATTATTTACTCTTTGACGGATAGACAAGCAGAGTTCTGGCCTTTCCTCATGTTATCACTGTCAAAATGTCACAGTAGAAAAGGATCCCTTTATGATGAATATTTCAGGTTAATTTTTCTAGCTGGACAGGTGAAAATAACCTCCTTTCATGACAGTTTTAGGTTGATATGTCTCATTTGACAGGTAGAAATAACCACTTTATAAATAAACAAAATACTGGTACTGTACATGTGCTTTTCTGCCACCTAGCCTTTTTTTCCACCACTCTTTGTTAGTAAGATGACATAATAAATGAGGAAAGACAAGTAAGATTTTTTTTTTTTGTGATGAAGATTAGCCTAAATTTACATATGTACATAAAACATACATCAATTAAATAAAACATAAATCACCATACATCAACTATTATGGATGTTGAATGGACCCTCAATTACACTAAGGTATATAATCTTAGTAAGATATTCCAGACAGGTATTGTCACTAACCCACTCAACGCTATCCATACACTTTTATATTAAAGCAAATATCATTTAATGAAGAAAAAAATATAGGTGTTGTCATTTGTATTGTGTTTTTTTTTGCCGTAGTGGTTATATCTACTATCTTAATGTAGTCAAAGCTTTGCCATCAATTAACACACATTACCTCCATGGCCTCATCATATTCCCAAATTCTTTGTTTGACATCTCTTTGTACGGTAAATGTATGCTTATCATGATATTATTTCAAACAAATTAAACTGCAATTCAAAAATATTTGAAATAATGTAGTAGGGACATATTTTTGCATGCTTTTTGGAAAATGCAAAATTGGAATAATATGTACTACAGATATTACATCAATGACCAATGGATCCATGTAATGGGTTTTTTTACATCTCAATGTACAGATATAAAATCTTGTGATAATTCCAGTAAAATACCATAAATGAAATTCCAATATGACATTTCAGAAATGATATTCTTCAAAGAAATCAAAGTTCAAAATTTAAAAAATATTTTTACGTAAGTAAAACCTATTATATTTGGAATCTGTAGTGAAGTGCTCTTTCTATGAAATGTCATGTTAACTAAAGTACATGTTTAGTGCTTCACTGAAATGTCAAGTGATATTCAGTATAGTGCTAGCTCACTGAAATGTCAAGTGATATTCAGTATAGTGCTATCTCACTGAAATGTCAAGTGATATTCAGTATAGTGCTATCTCATCGAAAAGTCATGTTACATCCAGAATAGTACTATCTCACCGAAATGCCAAGTAATATTCAATGAAATGTCAGATAGATGTTACCTATATTATAGTGTTATCCCAATTAAATGTCAAATTATATACAGTATATAGTGCACTCTAACTGAAATTTTATGTTACATACAGCTTATTTTCTGAAGTCAGAACTACTGACAGTCACAGTCCATCCTGTCCCACTGGACACCGAAGTCAGAAATACTGAGGGTCACAGTCCTTCCTGTCCCACTGGACACCGAAGTCAGAACTACTGACGGTCACAGTCCATCCTGTCCCACTGGACACCAAAGTCAGAACTACTGACGGTCACAGTCCATCCTGTCCCACTGGACACTGAAGTCAGAATTACTGAGGGTCACAGTCCTTCCTGTCCCACAGGACACCGAAGTCAGAACTACTGACGGTCACAGTCCTTCCTGTCCCACTGGACACCGAAGTCAGAACTACTGACGGTCACAGTCCATCCTGTCCCACTGGACACCGAAGTCAGAACTACTGACGGTCACAGTCCATCCTGTCCCACTGGACACCGAAGTCAGAACTACTGACGGTCACAGTCCTTCCTGTCCCACTGGACACCGAAGTCAGAACTACTGACGGTCACAGTCCTTCCTGTCCCACTGGACACCGAAGTCAGAACTACTGACGGTCACAGTCCTTCCTGTCCCACTGGACACCGAAGTCAGAACTACTGACGGTCACAGTCCTTCCTGTCCCACTGGACACCGAAGTCAGAACTACTGACGGTCACAGTCCTTCCTGTCCCACTGGACACCGAAGTCAGAACTACTGACGGTCACAGTCCTTCCTGTCCCACTGGACACCGAAGTCAGAACTACTGACGGTCACAGTCCTTCCTGTCCCACTGGACACCGAAGTCAGAACTACTGACGGTCACAGTCCTTCCTGTCCCACTGGACACCGAAGTCAGAACTACTGACGGTCACAGTCCTTCCTGTCCCACTGGACACCGAAGTCAGAACTACTGACGGTCACAGTCCTTCCTGTCCCACTGGACACCGAAGTCAGAACTACTGACGGTCACAGTCCTTCCTGTCCCACTGGACACCAAAGTCAGAACTACTGACGGTCACAGTCCATCCTGTCCCACTGGACACTGAAGTCAGAATTACTGAGGGTCACAGTCCATCCTGTCACACTGCCAATCATCCCGACAGTTTACACTACCAAACTGTGATGCCAATCAAAGAGCCTTTCAATGACCTAGCAATATAAGTAATATCATGTGTCATCATGTAAAAAAAAACCAGCATGCATATTAAAATCTATCTTAACTGGATTAGTTTGTTATTACATAAATGGGTTTAAGGTAGAAAAAACAAGCATCCTAACATTATATTCACCTTTACATACATCTTATTTACATCTTAAACAATGAGGTAATTAAGAAAATAAAACTTAAAAATGTTCACCCCTTCACCTGCGTAAGGAAATTTCGACAAACAAAATTAATACGTACCCTTACCTGGACGATTTATTGACTCATCAGGTCTACCTGGACAGCCAACTACCAAATGGTCTGACACATGAGCCATTTCTCGGCTGGTGTTTACGCTTCCTATCTTTTCTCTGACAAGCCACGTTGACACAAGTCTACAAACAGATAATGTAAAAGACATTTGTTCTACAGAAGGCGGTAATTTATTTCTCCATCTATAATCACTAGCTGTACAAATAGCTCCTGTTCCCAGTGAAGTAGACTTCCCATATTGTGGACGTTAAATCCGTCACAAACAGTTTTATCAGTGAAACTTCAAAGCGTTAAACCCTTACTCTAAAACGTTTTACCATTTACATTTTAATCCAAAGTTACATAACAATTTTCTGTTGATTTATATATATATAATAAAATCAAACATTCATGAGGACTTTAAATGCACAGCAACAAATCCATGAAAATTCTAATAAAACACAACACTTGTACATACATACACAACATCTTATACATACATACACAACACTTGTACATACATACACAACATCTTATATATACATACACAACATCTTATACATACAAACACAACATCTTGTACATACATACACAACATCTTATACATACATACACAACACTTGTACATGTATACACAACACTTATACATACATACACAACACTTGTACATACATACACAACACTTGTACATACAAACACAACACTTGTACATACAAACACAACACTTGTACATACATATGCAACATCTTATACATACATACACAACATCTTATACATACATACACAACATCTTATACATACAAACACAACACTTGTACATACAAACACAACATCTTATACAAGTAGGCTTACAGACAGGTAAACATGAACCTTAATTTAATTTGTTTAAGAAGCTAGACTCTGTGATACACAGATAAGCCTGAGAATGTAGAACATATCCATGCTCCACTCCTAAGACAACTTAGAGAAGAAGCTAGACTCTGCCGGACTCCAGAGAAGCAACTACATAGCTAGATTCTAAGCAACCTCAGAGAAGCTGAGGGAAAGAATATTCGACTATTAAGCGATTTAAGAGCAGCCAGGACAAGTTATACTCTGAGGGATTCGAGAGCAGCGTAGTCTAATGATATAGCAAAGGAATATTCTAAATAAAGGATTGGGGGTAAAATTCCCCAAGAATTAAAAACCAAAATCGAACAAATGTGTAGTATCTACATGTATATATGTAACAAAAAAAGAATTCCACATAAGTGGATGTGTCGCCTGCGCAGGAAGCTGGGAGATTACGAAGAAATAGATACACTTTTCATTTCAAGAAATAATGTTAAAAGTAAGTTTAAGTTTGAGCGGCGTAAGGAAATTCAGGTTATCGCATGAAAACAGATTTTCTATTTATAGTAACAGTGACCTCAACCATTGACAATCGGACCTGAAAAGCAATCCCAAGCAAGCACTTTTGGTAAGGAAGCACTGCATGAAGTTCGAGTTTGATCAGCCCAAGGAAACTAAAGTTATCACACGAAAACAGATTTTCTATTTATAGTAACAGTGACCTTGACCTTTGACCTTCGGACCTGAAAAGCAATCCCAAGCAAGCACTTTTGGTAAGGAAGCAGTGCATGAAGTTTGAGTTTGATCGGACCAAGGAAATGTGTCACCAGCTTTTCGCAGGCAACACAACAACAAATGAGTGAGAGCCCTATCCTACAATCCTGAAAACACTCTGTAAGGTTCCAGCAAGGTTTTGGTAAGATTTCACTGCCTAGAGGATGGAAACTGTAATACATGAAAGAGGCCAATCAGGGCCTCAATCTAATTAAAATTGTATTTTCGCATCACTCCCATTTACTGATGTCACAAAAGTTCTAATTTACATTAGATTGATCAGGGCCTTGAAAGTTCAATAGCTCATTTGGCTCTTTTGGAAAACATTAATTAAGATCTGTCTATTAGCTTGAGTGCGAGTCCTGTAAAAGACTTTGAACTATTATTTCATTTCTAATTCCTATTGGTTAAGCATGTTACCATTGCAATATGGTTAAAATCTGCCAATTAGTGTAGAAGGTTTCATTTAGAGCAAATTTCAAGTGCCTTTTTTATCATGCTTTTCTTGTAAATAAAATGAAATGAAAAAAATACATCAGTCTAAGGCAATCTCGCTGTATTTTGATAGGATTTAAACATCTATGAATTAGATTAGTTGTCAGCTGAACCTGGGCCAAGGGATTTCTTTGTATGGATACAGGATGAAGTGTATATAGCTAGGACAACCTTATAAGCAATGGCCCTCAGGGCCTAATTAGCTCATATCTTCACATTTTAGTTGTTATGTATACAAATATATATCTTTTAGTTACTCGCATGAAGTGCATATCCAACATGACAGGTAAACATTTAAACTTGATGTCAGACTTACAGAAGTTTCTAACAAGTGATCAACACATCAATTTTCCTGTGTTTTGGGGAATCATGCCATCTTCTTCTGAGTTGGCATAGTTTGTTTTTTGTCTTGTAGATTTTTGGGATTTGTTTTTTTTATGAAATTGGGTAGAACCTTATTTTCCTTAGAAAGGGACTAAGGGAGCAAATAAAAACTGCAAAAACTTTTTTAATTATTATTATTGAGTTTATCATTTGAATTCACTTTCATTGATGGTGTTTATGGAAAGTTGAGAACTTGATACAGGGATAATCTACCACACTTATAATTACACCTCAAACAATGTACAACTTCATAAATATTAACAGAAACTACCTATATATATATGGACAGAATTTGTTTCTCTGTTTAATGTTTGGATCAATACTAAAGCAGTGGTGTTGACTTTAAGCCCTAACACACTATAAGTTAATGTGTTTGGCAGGAAATGACCACTTCTCCTAAAACATAACGAAATGTGTCCAGCAGGAAATGACCACTGAGTGTTTGATCTCTGTATAGCCTGTAAAAATCAGCTAGAGGAAAACTCTATCTGACCCAATTAAACACACCTTTAATTGTCCTTTGACAGACAGGTAAATGATCTGGACATAATTGTCACCAATTTATCTGTCACTTCTCATTAACTTGATGAGATCACTGTTCTACATAGAACAGTAAAATGTTGATTTTTCATAGATTGTGATAACTATAAGCTAGGCTTAATTAATTTTCAAGTTATACTTTGCTCACTGTGTTTCATGTGTTCTGAAGTGAATTATCAATTTAGTTACAGTTTGTTTGTGAGTTCTCTATAGTGGAATAAGCCTGCTGTAATGTGTGGTCTAGCTTAAGGATCCCTGGCCCACTGCACTGTATATGTGTTCCTATATACAGTAACCTCCCCTTAACTCATTCACCCCTGAAATTTCATAATGAACTATTCCAACTTTGAATTAGAAGAGTCCAAATGTGGCTTCAGGGGTGAATGTGTTAACTTCCCCTTTGGTACAACTGTTGCACAGTTTGACCAGGACACCTTCATTGAACAGGTAGCTCAATTGCTTAGAGCAATAGTATAACGATCTGAATTAAGTGCAGGGTTTCAATCCTGGTCTAGCATTTGCTCAATTTTTCACACTCAGAGCGCTGTTGTTGATTATATTTTGTTAATTTCATCTGTAATATATATCATACAAGTCCTGCAAGTAATGTCTCCTGATATTTCTAAATGCTTCATGCTTTACATAACACAATGCTTATAGTTAATGGTTAATACAAAAATAAAGTTAAAATTTCAATATATTATTTTCAGAAGGGGGCTTTTTTTAATCAATTTCAGATGAGGACAATGCTTGATCCTTGCAAACAATTAATGATTTTGTATGGCCTTAGTTTAGAGGTGTAATAATTTGTTCTCAATCTTTTAAGTCAGTGATCAAAAAGGAGAAATATGAAAGGTGAATACTCCTTCATAAAGAATAAAAATAAATTTCAGCAATCCTTCCTACAACAGAGTTCAATACTTTTATAAAAGTCAGTGTCTTATCAAGTCAAAGCCAAGACAAAATGACATGACACTGGACTAGACACATGACACTGGACTAGCAAATGAAACTGGACTAGACACATGAAACTGGACTAGCCACATGACACTGGACTAGACACATGAAACTGGACTAGACACATCTAGACACATGAAACTGGACTAGACACATGACACTGGCCTAGACACATGACACTGGACTAGACACAAGACACTGGACTAGACACATGACACTGGACTAGCCACATGACACTGGACTAGTCACATGAAACTGGACTAGACACATGACCCTGGACTAGACACATGAAACTGGACTAGACAAATAACACTGGACTAGACACATGACACTGGACTAGACACATGACACTGGACATTAAAGACTAAGTAAACAATGTGCTGCGCATGAAAAAGAAACTGGACAATAGAGACCTATACAAAGAGCTTCTAGTGACAAGAAACTGGACAATAGACACAAGTATACAAAGAGCTTCTAGTGACAAGAAACTGGACAATAGACACTAGTATACAAAGAGCTTCTAGTGACAAGAAACTGGACAATAGACACTAGTATACAAAGAGCTTCTAGTG